GGAGCACATTTTGACCATCTGTAGGGCAGAGCTCCTTCAGTGCTTTCTTTGTTTGCCACCAGGAAAACACATTCAATCAGACTTCAAACGTTCCCAGAATAAACCCTTTACCACAAAGCACGAATGCTTGCAGTCTGCTCACACCTCCTAATGAACATGTGCTCAGAACCATCGTACAAAAAAGAAAAGAAATAGTTACACAACACATAAAACAAACTGAAATTCAAGACAAGCAGATGTAAGCTTATACCCCATGAGGATATACGGAATCTTACAATGCTGTGCAGTACCCAGAGCTTAATTCTATTTGCCAGCCTTCTTTCTGTTACACTCTCACCCCTGAAAGGTAAGGGCTTTCAAATCTGCAACAGCAACACTCTCGGGTAGGTCAACCCAACAGTCCCACAAATAAACCTGTGAAAAATTACACCCCCCTCCCACCACAAGCATTCTCCTTTTAAACATCCCACAATATTCTCTGTTGATCTTACTTTACAGGATGGGATTTCTGGGCTCTAGGCTCACCTGCCCAGAGGCTGATCTTCAGGGCTAGAGCCTGGAACAGGGTAAGGGGCACAGGTGTCATCGGTGGGCGTCGAGGGGGAAGAGCATGGCAGGTACACAGCACTCCAGAGCATTAGATTCCGCACGTGGCACACGGGGTACAGCACCTGGGGGGAGAACACGCCCTGCTCAGCATGCAGAGCTGCTCAGATCTGCCTGGGTCGGGCTGGGTTTGCAGCTGGGAGGCTCTGCTGGTTCTCTAGATAACGGTAGAGGTCAGCGAGCAGCTCTGGCATTTGTCATCAGCTACACTCAGCTATATAATTATCTCTTCTTTCCGAGAGCGGCCGAGGCGTAACAATGCTGCCTTTCAGCTCCTCCTGAATGAATTACTGCAATGTGCTCTCTGGGAATCTACACCTTCAGAATGCTTCTGAGCAATTTCAACTGCTGAGGAATTCAGTGGCCCATTGTTAGTGCTGAGATTTCCTTGTACTTTGTATTACACCAGGCCATGCGAGAGCTGAACTAATAACCTCCTTCTGCAGCCTCCAATTCATCAAAGCCAGCCTTGTCTCTAATGGAAGCACTCGTATGTTAAAAATTAAGTACATGCAGAAATACTTTGCTGAAGAGGCAGCTTGCTCCTAAGAGGGATTCCTCGACTGTGGAACACGCTTTCTGTTTCTGTTCAAAACCTCCCTGGGTCACTCTCTCAATGGCACTGTTTTCCCAGGCAACTTCCTTGTGGAAAAGCAGGCAAGGACAGAG